CCGCCGTGGTGGAGTCAAGCGCATCTCCGGTCTCATCTACGAGGAGACCCGCGGTGTCCTGAAGGTTTTCCTGGAGAACGTCATCCGTGATGCCGTCACCTACACCGAGCACGCCAAGAGGAAGACTGTGACCGCCATGGATGTGGTCTATGCTCTCAAGAGGCAGGGCCGCACTCTCTACGGCTTTGGAGGATAAAATCCAACTCAATCCCACAAAACAACGGCTCTTTTAAGAGCCACCCACATTTCTTAAGATGATTCCTGCTATTTATACTTAAAAAAAAAAAAAAACTTGCTACTAAGCGACTCTGGAAGTTAATTTAATGTAATTAGTAATGTAGCTGGGTTTAATTTCATTTCAATTATGAACACAAGGAGAAATGCCTTTACAAAGTCACATTTTTACATTAATGACATATGGTCTCTGAAAATAAACATCTTTCGCTTAGGCCCGTTTATCTCCACTTTTATCCTTTATAAAATTTCTTCAGACTAGTGTTACTGTTATGCTCTAATCTTTCCTTATTTCAAGTATCTGTACTGCTGTTTTATTCTATTTCATTGTTCAACCACCCATTTATATTTAAAACAGTTAATTTCCCTGTATTTTATTTCCATCACTATTTTTTTGTGATCCAGTGTATCCCTGTGGTTTTGCTCAGCAAACATGTTTATTTTTGCCTCTTTTTTTTCCTGCAATTCATTTTCCACCTCAATGAGCTATATCAACAGCTAACTTCCATCATGTTATTGATAGTTCATTTAACTGTTGTAAACTGTATTCAACAGAATATCCTTTTCTATACACTGTTTACAAAATAATAGTTTGTCTAAACCTAATAAACAGAACGGTTACAGCTTTGGCAATAGAGTAGTACAGTTAGTCGGTTTTCTTAATTGAGTAGTAGGTCTACATCCTTGTTATAAATGATAAATTCTCATTTTAGTACAGATTTTTGTTTGTATTTTGTTTTTATGGCAGGATTAGTCCTCCATACCCTATGCTAATGTTTTTTTTTCTGTCAACTGCAATTGTCATTTTACCTCTTCTTTATATTATTGCATTCAGAGTCAGTATGAAAATTGAGCCAA